CGAATGTAAGTGTTTTGGAATAGAGACTGGTTTAAGAGGACTTGCAAAAAAGGCCAGAGAGGTACAGGTAATAAATGCGAATTTGCTATATGAAATTAATGACGGTCCAAGGTAGGCCAGTCGGATAGAGTTGAAAATACTAACTTATTAGATTCACGAAAGTCGACCACTAGGAACAGAATACATTTGCTCACTGACAGCTATGATTATAGGTTAACTGACAATTTGTTGAGCATTTTGGGTGGAACGGATGCCAGTCTTCAAATATTCAGCAAACGTCATGCGAACTTTTCGCAGGTAACTGAGAATGCTAAGGAGCCTACAAAACGGCCCGGAAAAAATGATTTCTTAGTGGTATTGTCGAGTATCAACAGTGTTGCCTATTTGAAAGATTTTCAAAAACTTGTAAGATCCATAGCCCATACTAATATCATTTTATGTACTGTCCCAGTAAGGCCGTACCATTTTCAAAAAACTACAGGAATAACAAGACAATCAGGTCCATCAAAAATAATACCATTTACGCCAAATCAACAACCCGTGTGTTGGATATCTTTTCTTGCCTAGTAAACATTAGTCACTTTTCGAAATTCCTTCCCAATAAAGTGGGTATAATTCTGATGGCTGCATTAATTGGTCAACTGCTGCTTAGGGCTTTTCCATTGGTAAACAGAACATCACCAGATAAAGATGTAGATACAGACAAAGATGAAGAAGACTAGGATGAGACTACCAAGGAAATGTGGGCAAGGCTTGATATTTTATATCAGATCACATTGGACAGACTGCTCGACGTTTCTGTTAGTGACTCAAAATCAAAAATCAGCTCTTCTAACGAATTAGCACTTTTTAATTTCAGTGTTTATTATCAGAATACAAGAGGATTAAGAACGAAAACATCACAGTTTTATAGGGAATTAATAGGTTCAAATCACGATGTGGTATGTGTTACGGAAACTGGTTAAAAAGTGGTATACTTAATGAAGAAATTGTACCTGATAGCTACACTGTTTATAGGTCTGATAGAGATCCTGTAACATCTGGTAAATAGAGAGGTGGTGGTGAGCTGATGGCTATTAAAAAAAAATGTTAGGTCTATAAGGAACATAGTACCCATTAATTCTACTAACACCGAAGAAGCATGGTCTGAGATAGAAATTGACACAGAAGTTTATATTATTGGTGCTGTTTATGTCCCACTTAGTTCGCCTTTGGCACTTTATGAAGCGCATGTGGCGTCTATCAATAGTGTACTTAATAATTTTCCGGAAAGAAAACTTTTAATTTTGGGTGAGTTCAATTTGCGGAATTATTCCAATAGATATTAGATATAGATGCTAACGAATGTTTTGTAAACGAAAATGAAGAATATCTTCTAAACTTTGTACAATGAACATAATGTATATTTTTCAAGTACGTTTGCTTTACGATTGAGGCAATTTCGATGATCTTGCACAGTTGAATCATGTTAAGAATAACAATGGGGTTATATTAGATTTTGTATTTTCAAATTTTCAAGGAGTTTTGGTTCGCGAGAGTAACAATAGTTTGGTTAGGATTGACATTCAACATCCTCCACTTGACATTGCTTGCGGCCTTTTGCTGCCTGGTGACACGAAGCATTTTTATAGTCCTGTAGTAAAATTTATATGAAGGGCTACAATTTTTCATATAGAAAAGAAAAAATTACAATTGAAATATTCAATGAAATAATTACTTTAATTGATTCTCTGATTATTAGCTTCTTTCTGGCCACTTACTTTCCCAATTTTTCTATTTCCACATCGAAACTAAATTTAAATCCTGATATTCGGCGCCTTGCTGCTCTTGAGTTTCATTCAAGGCAGAACGTTGAGGTTCTCGAGAGGAGATCGGCAGTGGGAACCGAACCTTCGTTACTATGAAATCCCAAAGTCCCTCCAGAACGCCTTTCTGATTTTTATCAGGATTGGGGAAAGTTGGCGAAGACCACCCTGTTTTTATATTTGCTTAGAAAATTCAGTGCTCTGTGAGCTCGGCTTTATGGTTTTTTAGTGAGTTTTTCGAGAGCTATTGGGCATGGATATCATGTAAGTTGCACGTGTTTCGTGTTGAGAAGTTTGCACGTCGTAATGGGGTTTTCTAGTTTTTATAGATGGATTTTTGGTTACCCAATTTTGCTGTTGGCTGACGTTAAATTGCTGCTGGTATTCGAACTGGATTCTTCTTCTTCTACTTTTATTAGAGGTTGGGCGAAAGATAAATTATTTGACCCCAGTCCTTGTCCCTACAGTATATTTTTTCTTAGGGTCCAAGTGCTCCAAACCCAACCTTCCGGGTTCGGGTTTAAATCCAAGCCTAACTCTTAGTCCGCGTTCGAAAGAAACGTCGTAAATGCTATGAATTAAAGTCCTGAATTGATAAATCGGATTATGAATTTCTCTATCATTCAGCAATCCAGCGGTCCATGAGTCCAAACTTCAAAGTTCCACGGCGAAAATCTTGGCATCCAATTTGCCTACATGCCTTTCACAATTACCTCCAGCTTCGAGTTCCAACAACACACCCAAACTAGAAGCAGAAGCCTTTTGAGGCACAGAATTGCCAGGTTGGATAAATATAAGGTTTATCTTAGAATTTGCGAATAATAATTGAATATGCAAGGTGTATCAGGTTTGACTACAAAAATTTTAATACATGAAAATATGGGCAATATGGCCGATTTTGAACAAAAAAGGTTTACACAACATGGCGTCCAAACTCAACCATCTTTAAGAAAAAGGCCTTTGAAATTTTGACATTTTTTGCCGAATATTTGAAAGATAAAGAAAATTTTATTCATTATGAGATATATAAAAATTTGGTTCATTCAGTGATTATGCATTTTCAGTAAACAACAATCATAAAAAATTGAAAAAACAATACGACAATTTCACTCGTAAATCGGTATCTAAATATCTGGCAACATAGCACAGAAAAGAATAGGTGGTTAAACCTTGGTTAAACTGATTAATTGATTCTTGATTTGTCTTGACATGTCAGTTAGTTGGGAAACTTGCTTAATTCATTCTTTTTGAATTGATTCGTTGCCAAATGCTCATTTAGCAGCCTGAATTTACAGGGAAAGATTTCCCAAAAGAACGGCACCCACCTGATGAAAGAACATTGTGCCCGTTTTACAAAGATTGCATGATATGGAAAGCGTGAGTGTGCAAAATCTGCGTGTTGTATTTAGTGTTTTGAGGACCTTTCAACAAAAATAATTAATATTTTCATAATAAGGATTTGGCAAGTAGCTGAGTAAGTATTATTTAATTTTTCTCTTGAATGTTTAGTGCAAAAATGTCATTGAGTACAATTCACAACTTAATAAAAAGGCACATTTTTTATTTTTACTAGAAAAGTGATAAAAATGAGAGTTATTATTTACATTATTTGAAAGCCAATAACAAACCAAAACGTAAACAGATGGAAATAAATAAACTCCTTGCAAAAAAAAAAACTTTCAAATTTACCAAATAAAACTGGTAAACATTTATATCCTGGCAGAGAAAATACCTGTATACTGCTGTCACGTTGTTAACATTTTTCTAAATTTAAATTCTGTGATAACTCCGAAAATGCTAAGAACTAACCCATGGTTAATAGGACAGTTTTAGCTTGAAATGGTCCATATTATCTCACGTTAAAATATTTGTACTCATACCTGATACACCCTGTATACCTTTCATACAGTTCCATTAATCGGTTGCTAACACTATTTTTACCAGTGTGAGTACGTCTTTTATTTTTGAAAAACATGTTGTTTGATTTAGTTTGATACGTTGGAACCTAAAAGTTAAGCATACTCAATACGACATTACAATCAACAGTATCAGTCAGAATTCTGTTCGTAAATGCTAATGAAAGCCAGTTTCTTCTCGATTCCTAGCTTTCTATACCGACAGTTTTTGACCTATCTTTGTGAGTTAAATTATTTCTACTTATCTTTAATTTATACAATAAAAACCTAACAAATTTACGTTGCACTTGTTCTATTCTATCTATATAGTCTTTGCAAAAGGGGGAAATAACACATCCATATTCCAAATGACTTCTGAGTAAAGCATACTAGAGACATTTAATCGCCTCCGCATCAGTGAAATCCCTGCATTGTCTCTCTTGATGCTGTTATTAAAATAGTATGTAAGCTATTTCCGTAGAAGTGAAGTAACCAACCAGTGAAAAATCTTTCATAAGATGCAAAAATTCAATTCTTTTCTATTCAAATAACAACCTGAAAAACATAAATCTCAGTGCCCGCAAGCTGTAATTATCATTGGAAAGAAATTGAGCGCCCTTCAAAATAACGCGCCACTTGATCCCCCTTCTTATTTAAAACTCTGAGGGTGATATCTACCTCTTCTAGGGTCAAATAGTGTATGTTTTAAAAATTCTCAAGTTTAATAATAAACTTGATTGAACCAATTTCAAATTTTTTACACGATTATTTCGCGCATTAAAACCCTTTCAAAAAAAGTGCCACTTCACCTATAATTTCATTTAGGATTTTGGAATGAGGGGGCTTAGGACCAAGGTTAGAGTAACGTAAAGATATACCTATCAGTTGAGGTGTGTTTGTGTTTTCTAAAAAAAAATTTGTCTAAGAGATATTGAGAGTGGGGAGTTTTCAAAGTGTCACCCTGTATCCTGTATATTATAACGACTATTTGAATACCGCCACGACAAGTCGCCCGCTACGAAGTTAACACACCTTTAAATTCATATTTAAACTTCAAATTAGAAAGCTTGAGAATTTTCAAATACCCACCTAATTATATCTTTATGCCTCTGTATGTTTTCCTTTTGCATCTTCCTGAGAGAGTCCTCCAGAGTCGTTCTCTGCGTAGCTGAGTGCTCAGTAGCATATCTCTGGGAGTTACTTATGTAGTGACACAGTACGTCCATTTGACAAACCCCCAAAAAGAATGAAGCTACATGCAATTTGATTGGTTTAAATCAGCCTCAGAAAACCCGAATACTCACCAATAGCAAATCAAGTCCGTTGCAATCAAAATGATAGTCACATAACATCCGCATGAAGTAGAGTACAGGTAAGAAAGCAAATATGAGTTGTGAAATGGTGTCCATATAGATATGGGCGTTTGGGGGACGACTACTGTCTCGTTACCATTAGTTATGTAGTAAGGATCCCTGAACAATGGTGCTGGAACGTAGCCGCTCATCATAAGCACCGCCATTATAACGTAGCAGTATTTAGTTCTTTGGATAAAAATCAGAGATGTTTCGTAGGCGGATTGAGCTGTAGGGTCACCAGTGGAATAAATAAAGTCTTCGTATTCGAAAACTTTTCTGAAGATTTTGCTGCTGAGGTTGCCTAAAAGAGAAAGTCTAGAGTATTTTACGAAGTATTAATTTTTATGAGCCACCTTTCAAAAACAAACCCCTGATGATAACATTAATATAGTAAAGCGTGATATTGAAATTTCTGAAGACTTCGTCAATAATCAGCGGGTCGTCGTTGAAAAGCTGATACAACTTAACTATCTGACTCAAGTTGACGAAAATGGCAGCACCGTAGATCAATTTAGCATAATGAATGTAGAACATTCGAGTAAATCCAGTTTGAAAGTCGAGAATGTCGGGTAACAGGCAAAAGTAGTACGCCGACTTCATCATAAAACTGCCGAAGAATTTATTTTTCAGTGGATCCTGCTAAGAAAATTTAAGGATTTTCAAGCAGAAATTCATTTATATTCTTACCGATTTCTTCATCTCGCGATGCACCTACAGCAGGATAACTATAATGTTCTAATACAAATAACGGAGGACTATTTATATGTCCAAAGTCAATTTTTAATGAGGCGAACCTCTAAACTTTTCCTGTAATTATATATTTGCATATTACTAGGTCAAATTGATCGTTGGAAAGTTTTTGGACACGTCTACCAAGTAGTGCACCAGCACTGGCGACTTCATGAATTTTTCAGTTTATAAGGTATATCAGCAATTAATCCTTACAAATATACATCGATTATTCATTGGCGGCATTAATTATTCGTTTTCGTGGGAAAACGTAGTGGTCGATGAAAAGGAGGTCCCTCTAAAGTACCCCAGGGGGCCGATCCTCGAGCAGGGAGAGACTGCTCCTCGGGAGTAAAGTAGGCGTGGTTCTCTTCAGAAATCGTGAAACCTATTCTTGATATTTGGGATTACACTGTTCTCCTAATTTATCATAGAATGCCGTTCTACTGCTCTGACTCAGTAGAACAGGAGAAAGTTAGGAGAAGGGAAGCAATTTAGGCTATAAGAATTTATAAGTTAGAGGATTTGTTTTTTTCGAAATTAAATAAATACCACACAACACAACAAATTTGATAATAATCAGCTTAGGTCAATTTCGAAGGGTCCTGTATAAATTAAAATTATTCTTTGTATGTTTAGACGAATAAATTATTGAATGTTTCGCCTTTTTTCCTGTACTACGTAGGTAGTATTAGATACAATAATAAATATCCCATTATTTTTATTGAGTATAGAAATGGATTTAAAAATTCTAATTTAATTAGGTAGGTACCTAAGGCGGTAAACATTACACTCTGCTTGAACCTTTTACCTAGGTATTCTAATTTATCAGTCTTGAAAAAGAGAGTGAAGTCTTGAGTTCAGTATCAGTATGAGTGTTGAGTGTTTTTAATCTTTGTAATAAAATGGAATTTTTAGTTGCTAATGCAGTACTTGATAATTTAAATGTGGCAGAAGAAATGGCCAATAATGAAAGAAGATACAATAATTATCCAAGAAACCAAGCACTTGAAGAATTATCAGACCAGCAATTTATTAAGATGTTTCGGTAAAATAAAAATTTGTTTTCTACATGTCTATGTGGAAGGCTAGGTATATTTTAACTTTGGTATAAGTAGGTATTCTATTTTGTGTCAAAAAAACTAGGACTTATGTAAATAGTTAAACGAAACCCAACTGGGTGAATAATTTCACAAACAGATTTCATTTAAAATTAATTTTTGAAGCCTCACTCAGACTTTGAAATAAATTATAACGACAATACTAAATAGTACCGATAATAGTATAGCATACCTACATAATAAAATAAAATGTACCTACCTAAGTTTTATAGGTTTTTTATAAATTATTTGTATTATGTTTTCAGATTTATTCAAGATTTAACATAACTATTTCCAGGTTAAGTAAGGAACTCACAAGAGATGTGATTGAAATTGTTACCCCATCTGTTGAGCCACCCTCGAGGCTATCAGACCTATCTATTGATGCAAAGGTATGTTATTGAACGTAGTTTAATTATTCATACATTTTAAATTAATGTCTTTGAAGGTGCTTGCTGCATTAAATTCTATCGGCCAAGAGAAATTGATGGAAAATATTTTCAAGTTTCCAAGATGGCCGCTAGGGGGCGCAATCACGATGATATAACTAAAAATTCAAATTTTCTCGAAAAATCGCTATATTAAGGTACTGTTTTAACAACAGAAATCAAAAGTTCGTTAATTTTTGCGCCAGTTTGCTTATTAGCCTTTTTTCGTATCTTCACTAATAAGGGTGGGGGAAGCTGGTGAAAAAATAGTTTTAAAAATTGCTGTATCTTCCATATCCCTTATCCAAACTCATTCAATTTGGGCTTATTCGAAAGAGAATTTCATTGTTATTAAGAGCACCACTTCGTTCGGGGTCGATAGTTCCCAATGCGTCTTCTAGAGGGCGCTGTTTAACCAAGATCCAGTTTTTTCTAATTTTCTGGAAAAATCCAAATGGCATGATATATTTTTTTATAACTCTGCTTAAAGAGCAAAAAATTATCTACATTTTGGCGCAAACCGCAATCCGATATCTGCTTCCGTTTTCAAGTTATTTGCAAATAACTATTTTAATCGAATATCTCCCTCCTGTCATTTTAAATCAATCAAAAAATCTCATTTTGTGGTCAAAAATTAGTTTTAAGTGGAAAAATTTCATGACATGACATGAAAACAAAATAAAATACTCATAAATGTTAATAAATTAATAAAAATTTATTGTTTTGCTCAGTAAGGAAACATTTTTAACAAAAACCACTCGTGCTTCTAATTTTTCCTGACGCAAATTCTAAAAAACTCGTTTGCAAGTAATTTGTTTACCAAAATACTGGCGTTAATTTTTTTCATCTATGAGTGTGTGGAAGGTAGCACTTTACAGCACATGTGCGGTAAAGTACTTGAAATACAAAAACATTGACACTCGAAGGTGAAATTTTGTACCAACACATGCCGAAAGTGCCTTTACCGCTCTTGACGCCATGACAACTGCTGACGCGTGCGGTACAGCCCTTAACGGCTTGACCGAACTCCGCTTCGCGTCGTTCGGTCAACTGCCGTTGCGTACGGTAAAGTATCACTTTCCTCATTTGTTAGGTGAATAACTATAACAGGTACGAGCGTTATAATAGGTATTTACGTAACAAGTGCTGAAAGTGATACTTTACCGCACGCGACAGCAGTTGTCATGGCGTCAAGAGCGGTAAAGGCACTTTCGGAATGTGTTGGTACAAAATTTCACCTTCGAGTGTCAATATTTTTGTATTTCAAGTACTTTACCGCACATGTGCTGTAAAGTGCTACCTTCCACATACTCATAGATAAAAAAATTTCACGCCAGTATTTTGGTAAACAAATTACTTGCAAACAAGTTTTTTAGATTATTCGACAGGAAAAATTAGAAGCACGAGTGGTTTTTGTTAAGAATGTTTCCTTACTGAGCAAAACAATAAATTTTTATTAATTTATTAACATTTATGAGTATTTTATTTTGTTTTTATGTCATGTCATGAAATTTTTACACTTGAAACTAATTTTTGACTACAAAATCAGATTTTTTGATTGACTTAAAATGACAGGAGGGAGATATTCGATTAAAATAGTTATTTGCAAATAACTTGAAAACGGATGCAGATATCGGATTGCGGTTTGCGCCAAAATGTAGATAATTTTTTGCTCTTTAAGCAGAGTTATAAAAAAATATATCATGCCATTTGGATTTTTCCAGAAAATTAGAAAAAACTGGATCTTGGTTAAACAGCGCCCTCTAGAAGACGCGGTGGGAACCATCGACCCCGAACGAAGTGGTGCTCTTAATAACAATGAAATTCTCTTTCGAATAAGCCCAAACTGAATGAGTTTGGATAAGGGGTATGGAAGATACTGCAATTTTTATAACTATTTTTTCACCAGCTTCCCCCACCCTTATTAGTGAAGATACGAAAAAAGGCTAATAAGCAAACTGGCGCAAAAATTAACGAACTTTTGATTTCTGTTGTTAAAATAGTACCTTAATATAGCGATTTTTCGAGAAAATTTGAATGTTTAGTTATATCATCGTGATTGCGCCCCCTAGCGGCCATCTTAGAAACTTGAAAATAATTTCCATCAATTTCTCTTGGGCCGATTTAGTGATGAAGAAAAAAATCCCGATGCCGTAAGGTCTATGGTTTCCATAATAACGTACCTCGTCGACCTTAGTGGGACACCCTGTATATCTTAAAACTACCTTAGCCTGCTATTATCATATGTCTAATTCTAGAACGATATATAATAGGGGTAGTAGTGGCAATCAGTCAGTTTTGGCGCTTTACGGGGGCACGCAATGATGCTCCTTATAGACCTATTCACAGTTTCGACTTTAATTCATGTTCTAGTATTTTAGTGTGCAGTTGTCATTCCATGGTTGCCAAGATATTTATGAAGGGAGAATTTAAAAAAACCATTCTCCACGTTTCTTTGATTTAAAAACTTATAGCTTGCGCCAATTTCCGATCAGAGCGTTTGCAATTAAATTAGGTGGGCGCGCCGGCCGTGGGTGGGACCCCGGCGCACCAATGGTATTGCTAGTCCTAGTGAACTATTCTAATGAAAAGTTCCTAATTTAATTACATTCGCTCGTCGCCTCAAGGCGGCTCGAAATATATTGGCAATCTATGGTGAATGGGTCGGTGTTTAACGGGGTTGTGTGGATTGAACTTGAGGTTGGCAAGGTTTCTTGTTAGGGTAGGTCTGTAAGCTGAACGACTGAAGAATTTGAGTGAGACTTCATTGAAGTATTCGAGGATGGTGTTTATACCAGCAAGTCGATGCACTTCGGCCGTTCGGGCGTCCATTGGCAGTGAAAGGGCGTTCTTGAGAATTTTATTTTGGAATACTTGGAGCTTTTTCTTGTTGGTGTTGGATATGTAGCTCCAAGCAGGTGCTCCGTAGAGTAAAGTTGGGCGTATTATTGTCTTGTAGACGGTAATTTTGTTTTTTGGGCTCAGAAAAGAATTGTTCTTCATGATGGGAGACGCTTGGCGATATGTGCCTTTCTGAGGGTGTGTGCTACCTGGGGGTGGCCCTTGGACTTGACCCAAAGACTATTCCCATGTACTTGGCAGTGGTTTTGGGTTCGATTATGACGTTGTTAATCGTCAGAGGGGGGTTCATGATGATGTTTGTGCGCTTCCTAGTAAGCGTAAGGAGTTCTGTTTTTGGGGTGTTGAGGGTGATTTTCCAGGTCTGTAGGTGAGGTCGATGTGTCGTTCCAGCGCCCTTCTCGCGTCTTCTGCTAGAAAGGCACTGGTGTATATTGCAGTATCGTCGGTATACATCATGACTTTAGTGTCATTTGTTTTGGGTATGTCGGCGATATACAAGTTAAACAGGGTGGGGGAGAGGACGGTGCCCTGGGGAACTCCAACCCGAATCGATTTGGTTGGGGATAGAGAGCTTTGGAATTTAATATTGAATGTTATGTCGCAAAGGTAAGAGGCAATAAGAGAAATTAGATGGAGGGGTAAGTTGTGTACTGTCAGTAGTTTGTAGAGAAGGCCCTTGTGCCATACTTTGTCAAAGGCCTTCTCTATGTCGAGTAGCAGTAGGAAGGTGCTTTCTCGGTTGTTGAACACTATTAAGGCGTCTTGAGCTCAGTGTTGCCAACAGTATTTTTTTAATTCCGTCAACTTTGCTGTAGATTTCCGTCAAAAATCCGTTAAACCTTTTTTTTTCCGTCAGAATGAAACATGCGAAATACGCTAAACAAATAAAATTTATTCAGTAGTGCCAACCAAATAATGCAGAGTTAACGACATTGACGGCAGTGCCATTTGATTTTAGGCGTTTTTAGAAACACTGATCCGTTTCACCCGATCACCAGAGGCATTTTCTTGCGTCTCAAATGTTTCATAACATTTTTCAAAACTGGTTTAAGTAATGTCACCATGACGTCATAATTTCTCGGCGTGAGAAAATGGTTTGAAAATGTGGATTAGATTGCATTTCGAAACAATTTGAACCAATTGTTACGGGCTATTTTCAGAGATTGAATTGGTATCGCTTTCCAAGAAATTTGATATTGAATATTATGAGCAGTTTGTCCACTGAGTATTTTTGGCGTTCACCGTTCCTTAAATCTAAAAGAAAAACCCATTCTCGTATAATAAAGATAAATCCATCAAATTCAAATATTTGGTACAACTATAGGAGAAAGAGAGAGAACCGATTCGATGGTACCGATTTTATTTTCCATCGCTGTTATCTAGCAGGGACGGTACCGAATTTCAGGCATTTGCAAAAAATTAGGTTGATCATTCGATTTTTGGCTGCGAAAGCTACTTGATTGACGCTAGCACGTTTTGCTGATTTTACATTAGAATATCGGTTTTCCTTTTCCCAATTTAATTGCAGAATAGTTTTCTGAGTCTAAGCATAGTTTGCTGATGTGATTTTGGGAAAAATCCTGGAAAATATTGGAAATTCTAAGATATTAACTACAAAACCACATGGTTTCTCTTTGAAAGGCCACCTTAGAACTTTCGGTAAGTCTTATTTGTTCTTTCTAGCCTGTTCCGCTGCTGATACTCGTTTTTTTTTATATATAGGCCTTTTTTTCTTCTTTTATCTTGCGATTTTTGTTATTCCTTTGCTGGGAAATCCACCTTGACCAGTGTCCTTGTCATTCTTGTCCTGGCAACTAAGGGAACTATAGTGAAACTGATGCACTTGCCTCAGTATCCTGGGATTTCTTTACGTCGGATGCCACAATTTATACCTACCAGATTCGGAATTACTGGGTACAGACAGTATCAAATGGACAAGAAAATGGTACCTACCTGAACGGGTTTTGTGTATTGTACTGAACTGCTCCTGCTTCCCATAAGGTCAGATCTTTCCATTTTTCTTATATAATTGAATTACCTCAAGCCCTCAGCGTGGCTGAAAAACATTGAATGGTAACATACGTATTTAACTGGCCGTGTACTATTACCACTTTTGCGCCTTCTAGTTTTTAAGTTGGTTGTTTCGATAAAGTGCTGAAAACCTTACGAATGTACACCAAATATATGCATATACGCGGTATTTTCTAATCACTGGTGATTATTTACAGTATTTTCAAGTTTCAAGAGTATTTTGTTAACTTTTACATAAGTAGTTTATTCAAATTCGAATATGATAAACGATAAAATACTAATTTGATATATGACATTACTGAAGGTGTAAAATTATAGTTTTTTACTTCTTTAATTAAAGCTGCCACTTCATATTTTGAATTTAGTGTTTCTTTCCCTTGGTTTATTGCTTACTTTAGGTTCTTTCCCGTTTTGTTGGTTAGCACGATTACCTTTCTGTAGGGGTGAAAACGGGTGGCGCTATTATAAATTTATCTGAGCTATTTACCCACGACCACTCTCCACTGGCATAGCTAGCTAGGAAGGGCCTTTGTACCCCAAACAGGTAATTGTTCCTAGTGCATTTTTAGCTAACATTATCTTTAGAATTCCACTCATTTTGCAGCGAAACAATATAATTTTCATATTTAATTTTTTTTTTTCTCATAACAAATATTTATAATTTTTTTTTAGTCATAACAAATTGGCGCCCTTAAACGTGTGTGGATTTATTTTTCTTGTGTTTATGAATTTTCTTGCGTAATCTGCATAGTTTTTTTTTTAGAATTGGCCTAATCAATGTTTTTCATAGCCTAATCGCAGAATTATGTATTTTGGATGCTTATTGTAGGTATCCCAATTACTCTGTTTAAATTTAAAAAAAAAAAAAAAATCACAATGGTTGATATCCTACAGTCAAAACCAACGCGAACGCTTAAATTTTTTTTTAAGATAGCAATTTGAATTTTTCAAATTAGCATAAACAAATCTTTGTCGATAGGATTTTATTTTTATATTCCTATCAGCTGTTGGCTTTTACATAGTTTGAGTAATATTTACTTTTCGTAGGATTTTGAATCTTGATATTTCGGCAGACGCTGGATACTTATGTATGTAATTAATCTAACAAATTAATGGTACCTATTTATACCGTTTGATACTTTACAGTTCTGTCAGGAATAATTTATTATTAAATTAATTTACGACAGGAAGCTGGTTAAGTGTTGTAAGCAATTTTTTTTTATTTTATAGGTATATATATATATTTTTTTTTTTTGCTCCAAGTTTGATGGGAACTTTGAATTCTTATCGGCTGACGGTGTGTGCCATGTAAAGTGGCGTTTATTGCTGTCGGGTAGTTGGATTGTTTTTTTTTTTTTTGTTTTTTTTTGTTGCTTGTGGTCGGGTTTTGGCTTGAAAGCCACAGAAGATTTTTATTGCAATTGTTTTTTTTTTCCGAGTTGTCGATAATTGAAAATGGACATTAACTTGTTGGGATCCGAAGAATTGAAATACGAATTAACGATTCGTGGACTGCCTATTGCTGGTACTTTCGCTCAGCGTAGAGCAGAATTAAGAAGTGCCTTGCGTTTGGAACGTTCTGGGGAACGTGAAAATCCTGCAGTTTCTCCTTATGAAGCGGCTTCAGAAATTTGTTTGTGTGGAGCTAAATTGTATTCTATCGAAAGGGATATTTTGAATTTTGATCAGGAAAACAGGGAGAGTGAGTTTAAAAGGATAAGCACCTTGTTAGAACACAGTCGAAAACGCATTGCTAGAATTAATGCAACTATGGAGCCAGACGAAATTTTGAAAAATGAGTTGAGTTCGAAGTGTGGATTTTTCTTGAAACGACTCCAAGGTGTATACGAAGGTGATATTAATCCTAGTTCAAGTTCACGGGTAAATACAAACAGGGAGCCCAATGTCTCATATGACTTAGTTGAATTATCGGACAATGATACAGTAGCCTCGGACCATGATGATAATGGTATTGATGAACCTTTGAATCAAGTGGTGAATGATGGAAATCTTCGTAGACTTATTGTACCCCGGTTGAGTCATTTCGTTTCTGATTTATCAGATGATCATACAAATTTAGGTAGGCCTAATTCGGAGTTTGAGAACGTCCCTCATCATCATCAACCTTCAAGGACTACGGCTTCAATTTCAAGGGATAGGCCATTGCCTGCATATCCGTCATTGTTTCCAAGACCCCCTGTGGCTGACAATAATTTACTTTATCCTCCAGAGGATGTACAGGAAGACGCTCGCATATTACCACCTCATTCCAACCCGTTTTCAAGAAGTCACTCCCTATTAAATGCTCCCATTTCAAATATTCAGTGGAAATCTCCTCGATTTCCTAATGATAGAGCTGCATCAGATGAACAACCCCGCTATTTCCAATCCTCGGCTTTGGTTCAACCAAATAATAATCCTTTTTCTGCAAGAGTCACACGTGATCGTAGTTCCGTGAGCCGTCCATTTGATGGTAATGTCGATCCGATTTTACAGGATCACCCAACCATAAGGAACAACAGAAATGATCGAACTAGTCGAATTTCGCAGGTACGTTTTTCCGATCCAGATTGTGAGAGGAATCCCTCTAACATTGCAAATTCGTCACAGTCTATCCCATTGGAAAACCTTGTGGAACGTTTTAATGATCTGAATTTTTCGCCACTCGATAATCGCTCCTATCAACCCTCGTACGATAACCATCTTCCTGTCTATAGGGATGTCAGTCGTTGGAATATTAAATATGATGGACACGGGAGTTTGTCAGATTTCTTGGAAAGAATTGAGGAATTAAGGCTGTCTAGAGGAGTTTCGAAGGATCATCTTTTGCGTTCCGCATCTGAGTTATTCATTAAGGATGCCCTTTTGTGGTACCGTACTGGTAACTTTCAAAGTTGGGACGGACTTGGTCACCCAACTGCGGGAAACTTTTATGCCCTACGATTATGAGTTTTCATTATGGGACGAAATTCGAAAACGTACTCAGGGGTGCTCAGGAACGAGTTATAAGTTTTGTAATCGCTATGGAAAATCTTTTCCGGAAACTGCCGCAGGAACCTTCTGAAGAAGTTAAACTTCAGCTTATTCGTAGAAATCTTTTGCCCTATTTACAAGTTCGACTTCGCTACTCAACAATTTTGTTCTGTTAAGATCTTATTCAATTTTGCCGAGCTATCGAAGAAACAGAGGCACGCGTACAGCGTTTTGTCCCTCCTCCGACTAATTATAAGTATTTATTGGAGCCAGAGTTGGCTTATCACAAGCCCACTCATCAGGCCCACACAGCCTTTATTGAGGCCGACACTCTCACTTCTAAACCCCAACAGATCTTGGTTGATTCTGGAAATACTGACGTCGTCTCCACAGTGACTAAGTCCAGTCTTTTTGCTGGAACTGCCAGAAATCTGGTCATCGGTTCAGACAATGTAGTGAACCAAGGGAAAAAGTTTTGTTATCGTTGCGGTAAGCCAGATTGTACTACTCCCTCCTGTCCAGATTGTTCAAAAAACCGGGCTACGGCAAGGTCTTAGGCCAGAAGTCTTGCCTAGTGTCGAATTCAATGGCCAATTTTTCCAAAAAAATATTACTGGACTATGTTCTAGCCCATGCTAAAAATGATGAACGGCCCTACCTGCAGGTTGAGATCTATGGAAAGTATTTCCTTGGACTGCTTGATAGTGGTGCATCCAGAACAATTTCTGAGCAGCAGGCTGGAAAGTTTGAGATCTCTTTGTGAATTAGTGCCAACTACTTCCTATTGCACTGTGGCAAATGGCCAGACTTGTCAGGTCATTGGCTCTGTCTTACTACCTCTTTGTCTTCGAGAACGTACTGTTCTGATTGATGTATTGATAGTCCCATCCCTTCCTCATACACTTATTCTTGGAATTGATTTCTGGACAAGAATAGGAATCATTCCCGATCTTTATGCTGGCGAGTGGAGTTTCGGTTCTGATGACGGGAACAATCGTAATGCAGAAATTGCAACCATCCAAAGCAGAGGAAATTTGACCGTTGAACAGGAACGTTGCTTACATGCCCTGATTGATGAGACTTTTACAAAAATGAGTGACAAACTGGGATGTACCACTCTAGTGGAATTGGTCATAAAAACTGATTCGCCCCCAATAAAACAGCGTTATTACCCGCTGTCCCGAGTATTGCAGAATGAAGTGAATGCTGAGCTGGATAAAATGATTGCTGATGGTATAGTAGAGCCTTCTGATTCTCCATGGGCTTCCCCAATTGTCATGATTAAAAAGAAATCTGGTGGTTGGAGATTTTGTGTGGACTTTAGAGCTTTAAATCGAGTAACAGTTTCAGATTCATATCCTCTTCCATGGGTTTCTAATACTTTGGACAAGTTACGAGACGCACGATATCTCAGTACGCTGGATATTAAATCACGTTACTGGCAGATTCCTGTCGCAGATGAATCCAACCCCTTACTGCCTTCATCGTACCATCTCGCGGACTCTTCCACTTCAAGCGAATGCCATTTGGTCTGACCAATGCCCCTGCCGTTTGGCAAAGACTAATAGATCGTGTTATTGGTGTCGAGTTTGATAATTACGTTTTCGTTTACTTGGATGATGTCATTATTTGCACGCCTACTTTTGAGGAGCACTTGCGAATTCTGCGTGAGGTAATCAATCGTCTCGTTCAGGCTGGTTTAACTCTTAATAGGGAGAAATGCGTGTTTTGTAAGGATGAGTTAAAGTATCTGGTTTACGTGGTCAACTCTTCAGGACTTTTGGTAGACCCTGATAAAATCAAGGCAATTCTTGAAATCCCTTCACCCAAGAACGTCAGCGAGGTAAGGCGTATAGTCGGTCTTGCATCTTGGTATAGAAGGTTTGTGCCTAATTTTTCTTCGGTTATTTCCCCTATCACTTCTTTAACCAGGAAGAACGTTAAGTTTCTATGGGACCAAAATTGTGACAATGCTTTTAAGACCATTAAGGAATATCTTGTGAATGCACCGGTACTTTCCTGTCCTGATTTGACAAACCGTTCACGATACAATGCCGACGCATCTGACTTCGGGCTTGGAGCTGTTTTAACACAGATGCAAAATGATGAAGAGCACGTCATATGCTACCTCAGTCGATCTCTAAATCAGAATGAACGAAAGTACACGACCACAGAAAAGGAGTGTTTAGCAGTGTTATTTGCGATTGAGAAGTTACGGCCTTATATTGAGGGTACCAAATTCACTATAATCACTGACCACTATAGCTTAAAGTGGCTTAATACAATTAAAGACCCAGTTGGACGTATTGCTCGCTGGGCTGTGAGACTGCAACAGTACGATTTTGAGGTGGTTCATCGGGAAGGGGCAAAAGAGAACGTTGTTCCCGATACTTTGTCGAGATCGGTCCCTGTATTGGAGGCCATAACGAATACCCAAAGTGTGTCTAGTGATTACGAATTACCTTCAGGCACTACAGATAAGTGGTACACGAAGATGTACAGTAATGTCACTAAATATCCTTCTAGATACCCACTTTGGTGGATAGATAAAAAGAAACTCTTTAAGCGCGCTAAGGTAAAATACCCGTCCTTGTCTGCTACAAGTGATTGTTGGTTACAGGTTGTTCCAAGAGATCAGCGTTCAAATATTATCAAAGCTTGTCATGATCCCCCGACCTGTGGTCATATGGGTGTTTCCAAAACTTTGGGCCGAATTGTTCAGAAATATTACTGGCCTCAAATGAGGAACGATGTACAGAAATACCTTCGGCGTTGTCGAATTTGCCTGGAAACTAAACCTGAACAGAAAGCTCCATTTGGACAAATGCGAAGCTTACAACCTACAGCTTCCAAACCATGGGAAATCATTAGTATCGATATTGTTGGCCCCCTGCCACGTTCTAGTGCAGGTTATTCCTATGTTTTTACCGTATCTGATGTGTTTAGTAAATTTTGTTTGTTCTTTCCTCTCCGCGCAGCAACCTCCAGTAGTCTTTTGAAGTGGTTAGAGGATCATGTTCTTTTGGTCTATGGTATACCTAAGAAAATTATTGTGGATAACGGACCTCAATTTCGTAGTAAAGCTTTCCAGGATGTTATTAAAGGTTATGGTATAGAGATTCGTTACACAGCCAACTATCATCCTCAAGCTAATCCTGTAGAGCGAGTTCATAGAGTGCTTAAAACTATCCTTTCAAGTTATGTGGAAAAAGATCATAGGCACTGGGATAAATTTCTGGCAAAAGCTGGTTGCGCGATTCGGTCAGCAACACATCAAGTCACTAAGTTGACTCCCAATTTTGTTGTGTTTGGGCGTGAAGTAAGGTTACCACATTATGAACCCGATCTACCAGCTCAGGATGATTCAAAAGAATTTGACCCACATGAAAGATCCCGTCAACTGGGAAAGGTATTTTCTGATGTCAAGAAAAAATTAATTCGGGCATATGAAAAATCCAGTCATACTTACAATCTTAGAAGGCGTGATGGTCGATTTCTTCTTCATCAAAAAGTCTGGAAACGGAATTATCAGTTGTCAGATGCTGCGAAAAATTTCACGGCAAAACTAGCACACAGATTTTCTGGTCCCTATACTATCTCTAAAGTAGTCTCACCATGGACATATGAGCTGACGGACTCCAACGGTCGTAATCTCGGTATCTGGAATACCAAAGACCTGAAGGCTCATCCACCCGATACATCAATTTAGGCATCTTTGGGTACTAATTTTCCAAATTTGATTGATAAGGTTGTAGGTTAATGAAGTGTCTATAGTATTAGGGATATATGGCAGCATATAGTTCTTCTCTCATAACTAGTTCCTCTTTTTTAAGGAGGGGATTTTTTTTTAGGGGCTATTTTCAGAGATTGAATTGGTATCGCTTTCCAAGAAATTTGATATTGAATATTATGAGCAGTTTGTCCACTGAGTATTTTTGGCGTTCACCGTTCCTTAAATCTAAAAGAAAAACCCATTCTCGTATAATAAACATAAATCCATCAAATTCAAATATTTGGTACAACTATAGGAGAAAGAGAGAGAACCGATTCGATGGTACCGATTTTATTTTCCATCGCTGTTATCTAGCAGGGACGGTACCGAATTTCAGGCATTTGCAAAAAATTAGGTTGATCATTCGATTTTTGGCTGCGAAAGCTACTTGATTGACGCTAGCACGTTTTGCTGATTTTACATTAGAATATCGGTTTTCCTTTTCCCAATTTAATTGCAGAATAGTTTTCTGAGTCTAAGCATAGTTTGCTGATGTGATTTTGGGAAAAATCCTGGAAAATATTGGAAATTCTAAGATATTAACTACAAAACCACATGGTTTCTCTTTGAAAGGCCACCTTAGAACTTTCGGTAAGTCTTATTTGTTCTTTCTAGCCTGTTCCGCTGCTGATACTCGTTTTTTTTTTATATAGGCCTTTTTTCTTCTTTTATCTTGCGATTTTTGTTATTCCTTTGCTGGGAAATCCACCTTGACCAGTGTCCTTGTCATTCTTGTCCTGGCAACTAAGGGAACTAAGTGAAACTGATGCACTTGCCTCAGTATCCTGGGATTTCTTTACGTCGG